TGAGTGAGTGACTCGTAGTGTGTAAAGCTTTGAGGGGTCGAACCTGAGAGAGATTCATAATATTATATATTTTGAAAGTCTGATGTCCACACGGGGAGAGAGAGAGAGGTCTGTACGAAACTGTTACGTCTGAATATGATTTATAGGTCAGATATCTGAGAACGTATTTCACACACATTCTGCTTCCTGAGATTGTAATCTTGCACCTGTTGATACAAAGTGGATCGTTGGTGCAGCTCCTAAATCAGCTGACACATACTCACAGAGCTCCAAATGTAGATTAATCCGCAGCTGAAAGTAGTCCCTAACCAATGCATTGTTGTTAGATGAAAAAGCATTGAGCAGGGTGTTTAAGTCTTCTCACGTCTTTGAGATGCCCTCAAAATGATTTCCATGTATTTAAAGAATATGGAGGTGTTGATCTTTAAGTCACTGCAGCTTCATTTAAATGCATTACAAAGACATGTGTTTCGATGCTCCTCTCGCTCCTCTCGTTCAACCCTGACGCGTCTCCTTGGTTCTGGAGGGGAATCTGAACTCTGTGAATTTCCTGCGCTTGTTGACTGAGGGTCGGAGAGGTCTGTAGTTTTCCACGGAGCCGTAAAGACGAGCAGAGAAACCGGAGAATCCTCTGAAGTCTCATCAGTTAAATCACCGCGGCTTTGTGTGTGTGCTCAGATAGCAAGCATGCGTTGTGACTCGCTGTCCTCCTCCCGAAAGTGTTTATTTGGTTAGTTTTTGATGTGAACGTAGTGTCCCGTTAACCTCCAGTGTGACAGGTCTCTTTCCAGCTTCTCTCATTCCCCCTCTGTTGCTGACAGCATTTTAGGTTTCAAACGCTGCTTTGATTTCTGTTACAGAAAAACATGCATCACGTGAACTAAGTCACTTCAAATGGAATTTAAAAACTGTCTGAAATCTGAAAGAAATACCAAAATAAATGGAATAAACTAAAACAAATACCAGAAATGGTATTAAATGATCCCGATAGGATAAGTGTTATATTTACAGATGTAGATATTTCAACCAAAAACTGAAAATACATTCGAAACAAACCAATTTAAATTAAAGCTGTAATTAAAAAATACAAGAAAAATGTTGAAAGATCTGATGAAATGATCCTGATCTGAATGTTGGTGCTAGAGGAGCTGCGTGTGTTACTTTAACACACGCAGCTCCTCTAGCACCAGTAACACACGGATATAACATCCGGTCCTTTCCTGTTGAAGAGGAGAAATGATTATACAAAGCTAACTGTGTTAATATTCTAAGATGAAAACGATCATTACTGGAAAAACCTCTGCAATAAAAACCCTGAATTTAATTAATGTATCTATTTTTAATTTAGTTAAGTCATATTTTTATTTTCTTATTTTCTATATAATGTATTCCCTCTGGAGCATCTCCCTGCTCTGATTCTTATTCATCAGCCTTTTCAAAGCGGCCACCCCTCCTCCATCGCGCGTGTGTGTGTGTGTGTGTGTGTGTGTGTGTGTGTGTGTGTGTGTGTCCTATATCACTGTGCACACACCAACATATGCACACACACGCACTCACAAAGCCTGGCTCTCCGCCTCCTCTATTCAAACATCCCTCTCTCATTGTTTCCCCCCCTCCCTCTGAGAGAGAGTGTGTGTGTGTCCTCTCATGTGTGTGTGTGTCCTCTCATGTGTGTGTGTGTGTGTGTGTGTGTGTGTGTGTCCTCTCCTGTGTGTGTCTCTGTGTGTGTGTGTGTGTGTGTGTGTGTGTGTGTGTGTGTGTGTGTGTGTGTGTGTGTGTGTGTGTGTGTGTGTGTGTGTGTGTGTGTGTGTGCCGATGCGTCGCGATGCGTTTGCCGGCGCTGAACAGGTGTGTGTTCAGTCCTCCGGAGCTCCGCACACTGAGGGGCTCTCGCGCTCACACGTACCCAGGATTTAGCTTCACATCTGGGGCAGCAGGACCCTGAGCGCCCCTCCTCCTCTGGAGATGATCCAGGGAGGAACGCAGAGAGGTGTAGCCCAGCGGAGGACACTGATGCTGGGGTCGATCTGCTGCCGATCAGCCTGTTGTACCTCCACTCTTCCCAGTGAGTATCCCTGACCCAGGAACAGAGACGCAGTGTGTTCATTTAGTCGCATTTCCACCGCGTTGAAGCAACTTTTGCGTCACTTTGGATCGGGAAATAAGATGTCTTTTATGTAAGGGTTTGGTGCAGAACACAATGAGAGGAAGAAAACTGCAAAGATCGAGAAAATAAATACAAATACAAGTAAAATGACCACAAAATGCATAAAGATATTCTAAATATATGTGAATCAAAATAAAAAATGTGTTGACAAAAAAACTAAATGAATAAATAAAAAATACTATAAAATGATATATCTGAATTTAAAGGACTGTTTTATAGAAAGAATATGAAATAAGAATATAAAAAATATGATATATAAAACATTAAGACCAATATGAATGTAAAAAGATGAAGGATGCAGCACCATTCGTTAAATGAGATATATTGAAAAAGAATGAATATAATCAAATGGAAAAATCATGATATGAACACCTGAACATATCCAAATGATTTCTAATGTTCGCAGCACACACACAAAGACACATCAGCCAACTCTGCATTTTACACACATGTTGAATCGGTGGTTGCGGTGCGCTGAGATGCAGCCACGTTTGTTCTTGATGGTTCTCTGCTGCAGTGAGCGCCTCCGCCGCAGAAGACCTTTATTCAAAGACTCTAAGGGTGGAAATCTCTGAGACCTTTTAGATTTCATCGAGCAGTTTGGAGCCGCTCCGACAGGTGTCTGGTGTCTGGAGCTGCTCTGGGATCAGTTTGGCGCTGGGACTTGTTTCGTCTGTTCTTGGTGGGATTTTGCTGCTTTCAGAGAACAGAGTAGATGGAGTGAATGTGGGTTTGCAGTTGGTGTGAATCCTGTTTTCCAAGCGGCGTTGGGAAGAGTGAGTTATCGTGGCGATGCGCCGAAGTGTGTGTGAGAAACACGACGGAGCAGACGGAGGATTTCTCTGATTTCCTGCAGAGAGGAGATAGTTAGACACGAGAGGAGGGAGGTGTGGGAACTTTCTGAGAACCCTCCTCTGCTGCCAGTTCACCTGGACCCACCTGTGGAGGACTCATATCTGTGTGTGTGTGTGTGTGTGTGTGTGTGTGTGTGTGTGTGTGTGTGTGTGTGTGTGTGTGTGTGTGTGTGTGTGTGTGTGTGTGTGTGTGTGTGTGTGTGTGTGTGTGTGTGTGTGTGTGTGTGTGTGTGTCAGGTCTGACAGCAGGGCGTCTCGTTTGGCTCGGCGGTGGAACCGTTCTGCGGGCGATGCTCTGATCCTGAAGCCGCTGATCTACACGGGAACCTCCCGATCCTCACTCAGCCTGGACAGGTACACACACACAAACCCACACACACACACACACACACACACCTGTTGCACACCTGTTTAGTGCTGCTATGTGAAGAGAAAAAAAAAGGAATGATAAAATGCAAAATGTCTCAGATTTGACTTCAGGGTGAAAACAACGTTTGTTTTGAACTCTGCATCTCTTCATGCTTTGTTTACTTTTAGTAAACCTGATATTTGAAACCGGTTTGTTTTGGATGCATTCAGCAGTAACTGAACTGAAGCTGGAGCTCTGATTCCACCCTGTTCAGGTTTTAATGTTATATTGATTTAAACAGGACAATGTAAATTAATCTAATTAAAGTTAGCTTTTAAAGGGTTTTAAGAGTTAAAGGTCCCGTGTCCATTTCTCCTGATCACAGCTCCATCGTTGAGGTCGACTAGAATAGATTCACATTGTTCAATGTTCCAAACTCACAGTGGTTTCTCACAGCGTCTCCGTATAGTCTGTGTATTCACTCTCTGTCCTACACGGCTCGTTGGAGCTCCTGCCCCCCTCCCCTCCCTGTGAGCCCACTGTGCTCTGATTGGTCGGCTCGCCCACTCTGTTCTGATGAGTCCACCACCGTTACAGCTGAACATCAGTGATTATGTTTTACAATGGCGTTTGTTAGCAACCAGGAAATGACACCAGTGATGACAAACAGGTGAGAATGCTGCGTGGGGTCTGGGGGCCGTGTTGGGGGGACGTTGGGGGGCTCGCTGCTCCGAGGAGCGGACAGTGTGAGCTGGATTACTGGTGACATTTCCTGGTTGCTGCGTGGGGTCTGCGAGACACGGTGAAACTCAGCCTGAACTCTGCTGAGGGGGTTGCAGCACCCCCCTCTGCGAGGCTCCACTAGCACCCGCACCCCCAAACGCGGCGCACCTACAGTGTAACTTCGACACTTCGAATCAGGGGGTACCAAGTTGGAGCCCCACCTCAGTCAGCATGTCGTTGTGTCCCTGAGACGCTTCACCCCAAAGTGCTCCTGTGGGGGTTGCCCTCAGTGCTGAGTCTGTGAGTCGCTTTGGATAAAAGCGTGTAACAAATGAAATGTGATGTGATGTGATGTGATGTGATGTGATGTGATGTGTAAGTGCGCCACAGTTTCGCCGCTGCGAGACGCGGCTGAGAGTGTGTGTGAGGATCTCCACGGATTGGTCCATTTGGATTTTATTTGTTCACAAACTCTCATAAAATTATTAAAACAACAGAAAAAAAACTGCTTCTTTAAAAAAAAATAAAATCTAAAAAGTTATTTAATATTTGTTTTAGTCTACGACTCCCACAATGCATCGCGGTAACAAACAGCCAATCGCAGCACTTTTTAGAAACCTGATTATAAACATGTTAGGCTTGTTTGAGACAAGCGAGACCTGCGCAGTTGCGATCAACGTCTTGCTCGTGCATTGCATGATGGTTAGTCATTGTGTCCGACTTGCTCTGGAGGCTCGCCTTCATGAGACGTTGAAATCTCGCGGGACAAAGACGCCCGCAGCCTTGAGAGCGAGGCGCGGCGAGGCGGCGCAGTTCCTCTCCACGGGCTGCGGAAGCGAAATGCTTGATGGGAAACGGCTCGCTGGTATCTCGAGCTGAGCGCTCATTGGTGGTTTTTACCACGTGCTGCTGATGAAGCTCTCCCATTGGCTCGGCTAAAGTTTGTTGTTGTTTTGTGTCAGTTTTACGTCGCCACATCCATTCCCATTTTCATCATTGTTCCACAATATTTATCATCATGAAATTAATATCTATATATTTTATACTATACTTGCACTGCTTACCGTTTTCATACTTTATATATCTTAGCATATCCATACACACTGTTCATACTGCTCTCAGGCTGCTGTGTATATCTAGTGTATTAATACACACTGTTCATACTGCTCTCAGGCTGCTGTGTGTATCTAGTGTATTAATACACACTGTTCATACTGCTCTCAGGCTGCTGTGTATATCTAGTGTATTCATACACACTGTTCATACTGCTCTCAGGCTGCTGTGTATATCTAGTGTATTAATACCCCTCACTGTTTATTCATCATTCAATTCATTCTATATGTTATTCTGTAGATTGTGAACATTACTTTTCACTTTATTGCTTGTTGCTCCTGGTTAGAAGCTAAACTGCATTTCGTTGTCTCAGTACCTGTAATATGTGCAATAACAATAAAGTTGAATCTAATCTTGAGCAGGAACAAATGTATTTACTTAGTACATATCTGACATTAACAATTAAACACACGTGTGCATTCTTTATAAATGCAAACCGAGTCAAGCCGACTCCGGAGGTGGCGGTATGCACCTTCAAGCTGTTTGCAATCCGCCAAAAAAACGAGAGGAGAAGAAGAAGAAGACGAAGCTGACTCCGAGCTGTCCGACTTCAGGCGAGCTTTTTGAGACCTCCCCCGGCTGCGATCTCGTCTAATTTCGAGGCGAGCCGCAACGCCTCAAACAAGCCTGTTGACTCTACCCACTAGAGTTATAGCTCTGAAACTGCAGCTCTGATTCCTTCCTGTTCTCCATGGCAACAGCAGCAGAGGCTCATGGGTATTGTAGTGTTTAGAAACATTAATCACAAATAACATGTAAACATCACACGGGGGAAACAGTGGAGGAGGCGGTGGAACAATAACAATGGATTATTTAACGAGTGTGTAACCAAGACGTCTGTCAGTCAGTGTAACCTGTGCTGTTGCCATGGTTACCTGCGGTTTAATCAAGCGGCAAACTGTGGGGTAGAGCCGGGAAGCCAATACGGAAGTGCCACACACTGCAGTTCATATATTGGCCGATAGGCGATGGCTGCAGAAAGGAGCAATTTCCATAGACCCCCATGTTAAAATGCCCAACTTTACAGCAGAAAAAAACATGTTTCTACCCCTGGCTCCATACATTTTATTAGCGATATAGTTAGATTCCACCTTCATGATTATGGATCTGTGAGAGAATTGTTTTCTAACACGACTCTTTTATTTATATTAGGTCTTAAAGTTTGTGCATATATTACGGCGTGGTCACATTGAGTGACGGCTCTGTCAAGTGCCTGCTGCTGCTAGCTTCTTGTCTCTCTGCTAGCTGCTCCGTGAAGCTACAGGGACTCTGCCTGCTCAGCTCATCCAGCAAACACAACTTGTAGCCGGCCGTGGTTGTTTGTTCTTCATGCTTATATATCGGACTATTGTGACTCGCTCTGTGGTTAAAACAGACGGTGCATGAATGCGGTTTTGCGGTAAGTGAAATTCGAGTGCTTTATTTATGTGTTAATGATTTTAATCGGCTACGTAATGAATGGTAAGGCTTGGGTTAGCATGTAAGCTAGTGGTAGCTACATCGGTGCCAATGATGCTAATCGTAGCCTCCAAGTTAAAATCATAGACTGTATATAAAGGTTACAACGAAATAGACAAGTGTTAAGTGGGATAATACTGTTGAACAAACGGCTTCTGTTTGAGGTTGATAAAATAAGGTTACATCCTTGTAACTTAGAGATATTTTATTATGTAGGTAGAACTGTATGCATCTAAGGTTAATTTAAATTGGCTATGCTCAAGTATGTAGACAAGCTAATGTCGAAGTAGTGTATGTGAAATCAACCTCACAATAAGATGTGTGTATATTACAATTATTAATGTCATATTTCAAGATGATTACTTAGATATTACAATATGGTTGGTTGAGCTGGAGTTCATTATCGAGCTGACACGTTAACGTCACAGTCATCTGAAGAACGAACCCAAACCTTGTAGTTTTTATTAATTGCATTACCAAATGGGTATGAAATAAACAGTAAGCATTGGTAACACAACTTCCAAAGTTACAGTAAAATAAAAAGGACCCTGACTCGGACAATACACAATCCAACATGTTCAACAGAAGAGAATCAGTTATATTGTTTGTACACATGGTACTTTACATATATATCTGTTTGTTTAAGGTGTCCAGGTGATGCAGACAGGCTGGACCAGAGAGTGAGAGACAGAACTGGACTCCTCACAGCAGTGAACTTCAGCTCAGGTACAAAGACTATTTTTTTCATACTGTACAAAGAATCAAGAAAGATATTGGTTTAAATGAATGAAGTATTGACTTGAATACACTGATATACATTCCATTAAACAATACTAAATACTAGATCACCTACACATCAGTTAAGTTGAGGGTTTTTTCCATGCAAAAAGTTACATTTAGATATTTAGCAATATGACTTTGTCAGCTTTCTAATGTAATGTATTGAAGGCAAAGATATTTAACACATAGTGAGAACTGCTGCTATTTATCTCTCAATATTGTCTGTAAAAAACGTGGTAAAAGTGATTCTTTCAGTGAGACAACAGAGCAAGCTTCTACAGTTGCACTACGTTTTGATAACAGTTACATATTATTTTGATAATAACATATATTTCAATGTTGATGAACTTCATACTGTTCATTCATAATCTGATTGTCTTTGTAGCTCATTGTTGAAATAAAAAAAAAACATTACAATTACAAAATAATGATATCTACAGCCCCTAAACACACAAACACACCGCTTTCATAAATAACACACTTGTTCTGCAATAATATGTTTTATGTTTCCTGTCATTTTTGTTAGGAAAGGACATGCCTGAAAGACACGACATGTTCTCCTTCTCTGAGGGTCAAGAAGAACATCCAAGAGGAACATTAAAAGCTGATGTTATGAGATTTTAAGACCAGTACAGGACATTCACTAAGAAACTACTTTTATTGTAAAAACAGTCAGCTGATCGAATGCAGCTATTTCCACATCTACACTCCATCAGCTGATTATTTCTATTTGCCTCACTTTATGAGCTTCACAACATGTACCTTGTTTTGCAACGTCACAAATAAATGGGGCCAATCTTCAGTCAGATGTGAATGTGTAATCTAACATTTTCAGTTAGAATAATGGACAAAAGGAGAGCAAATACAAATACAATTTATTGAAATGTGAACCAAAAGCACATATGGACAGAAGGTGTAAACCTATTAAATG